ATGTATCCGTGACCATAAAGGCAAATTTTTCTTTATAATGTTAATTGCCTCATACAGGAATGAAGAACACAGAATCAAACTTCCTTGACACTTTTCTGTAAGCAACTGGGATGGACAGCCCAAACTTAATTAGTGAATGTGGTTCTTTTAGCAGTAGTATCTATAGTTCTAGATTAGTAGAATATTTTTTTTCTTTTTTTATATTCCTGGGTCCCACTTTCATTCCCTTCAACTAGACCTTTCATCATTCCTCCTTTGAACTTTTTTTGGGTAACATTTCTCTTTTACTGTCCATAAGATTATGAATATCCAGGTTAATTTCAAGAAAAATTCAATTCAGCATATATTTAACAAATGTTTACATGTAGATACTATACAATTGGGTGGCAAAAATGAAGTTTAGCAAAGTTGCAGGATGTAAAATCCACATAAATCATTGACATCTCTGTATATTACCAACAAAGCCCAACAGCAAGAGATAGAAAGATAAATTCAATTTAAAGTTACTGTAAACATTATAAAGTATTTAGGAGTCTCGACCAGGAATTTTAGGAACACAATTACAAAACACTTTTCATACAAATAAAGTCAGATCTAAATAATTGGAAAAACATCAGTTACTCATAGGTAAGTCGAGCTAATATAATACACGTGACAATTTTACCTAAGTTAATTTATTTATTCAGTGCCATACCAATCAAACTACCAAAAAATTATTTTATAGAGCTAGAAAAAATAATAATAAGATTTATTTGGAAGAATGAAAGGTCCAGCTTATCAAGGGAACTAATGAAAAGAAGTACTTAGAAAGGTGGCCTAGCTGTTCCAGATCTTAAATTGTGTTATAAAGCAGCAATCATCAAAATTACTTAGTACTGGCTAAGAAATAGAGTGGTGGATCAGTGGAATAAGTTAGGTACATAAGACATAGTAATCAATGACTAGTAATCTAGTATTAGATAAACCCAAAGACTGCACCTACTGGGATAAGAACTCAGTATTTGACAAAAACTTCTGGGAAAACTAGAAAAGAGTATGGCAGAAATTAGGCATAGACCAAAATCTTACACCATATACCAAAATAAAGTCAAAATGAGTGCACGATTTAAATATAAAATCTGATACTATAAGCAAACTAGAAGAGCACGAAATCGTTTATCTTTTAGATCTATGGAGAAAGGAAGAATTTATGACAAAACAAGAGATAGAGAACATTATGAAATGCAAAATAGATAATTTTAATTACATTAAATTGAAAAGTTTTTGCACAAACAAAGCCAATGCAACCAAGATTTAGGAGGAAAGCAGAAAACTGGGAAATAATTTTTACAACCAGTGTCTCTGATAAGGGCCTCATTTATAAAATATATAGAGAACTAAGTCAAATTTATAAGAATACATGCCAGTCCCCAATTAAAGTGATTGTTAAAAACTGAAGCGCTACTGCCAGCCAGTAGCTTACATTATGCTAGGAGGATATAACATGCACAATAATATACAAGGTAATTTGAAGAAGAAGGAACTCTTAACAAATGGTGAAGATTAATAAGGTTTAAAGAAGTTATTTTGGGACACATGATAGAGAATCAAATCAAGAAGGAATAAGAAAATTGCCATGTAGTATCAGATAATGAATTTGCAGTGAAACTGTGGCATTCTATTATTACTTCCTCCATCATTCAGCTCAGGAGTAAGATCGTAGAAAGTATTGGGTGGGTATGACTCTGTTGGGAATTGATGAGCATGAACAATGGGAAAGAACAAACAGGCAGGGTTATTCAAGGGTGAAGGGCAGCAGATTGTTAAACTGCTTAACTTACAGAGCCAGAACTGTAGAGAGAAAAGCAAGCCCAAGACAGGGATAATTAACCTGGAGAAGGAGACTAAAGGATATTTTTTTTTAAAATAGGACTGAGATCAGTAGAAATATGGAATACAGGAGAGTATGATAAGGTGAGAATATTTCAGCATTCAGAAGCATAGAAGTAGAAGACTTGTAGGTAATAGTGATATCTGCTATGTCACTGTTAGTGTTTGAGGTAGAGCAAAGCTTTGGGCTACATAAGTTGAATAGGCTGATGAACTGGGAGCCTGGAGTGTTCAGAAGTTCAGTGTTTGAAATACTAAGTTTCATGAGTATGAAAGCAAAGGTGAGGTAACGAGGAAAACTGTAATCCAAGTACTGAACTCCTTGAGAAAGGGGAGAAATAATGACTTGGAGGCCAGTAGACAACTAACACAGATCCTGACAGTGTTTTATACAGAGAGGGTACCCTTTGAAAGAAGAAGTTGCTGATTGATGGTGGCAGAGGGGGAAGATTTGGAAGTGGCAATAAAGAGTATGCTAACTCCTCTTCATAGACACAAGAGAGGCTGGCAAGGGATAATATATCTTCTGGGGAAAAGCCAAGTTTTTCTGAAGATAGAAAGCATGTGATACAAAAATATTTAAGAAGAAAAGAATCTTGTTAACCATGAGACAGGGAGGGTAAAGAATAGAGATTAGGGGTTGGGTTAGGGTGAGCTGGAAAAGAAAGTATTGGGAAAGGTGTTTGCTTCAGCAAGCAATAACTTTGAATTACAAGGATTGGGAAATAGGGGAGGGTGGGGGGATTTGATAGCCTTAGGATCAGTTATATAAGGTAGTCACTTGATTAGAACAGGGAGCCAGGTCAATCAATGGAGATGACATTTGGGAAGGTCCACTAATCTATAGTATGCATCTGGGACTACCATCTCACTCTTCCATACATCTCCATTACGGTGTTTGGAAAGGACTGTTATCAGGCATGGGACAATTAACAGTAGTGGCAGCTGGGTGTACTGTATGATGAAGAAATCTCAAATTCCAGGCAGTGTTTGGCCACTTGATTTGGTTATTCTATCTCATGATTCCAGTGAATGACTGTGGCCCAAGCCAGGGAAATAGTGTAGGTGACAATAGTTGCAGTACCTGCTCTTTTCTCCTCAGTGGTAGCTGCTACCTTCCTGGACTCTTGGTCATGAAGGGGCTGTAGAGTTAGGGTAGTCCAAAGCAAATAGTGATTTCTAAATGGCAATGGGATCCAAGTCGTAGAGGGTAAAAGTGGTTACTACTTTGGCCCACGGCAGCTAGGAAAGCAATGAAAATTCCCAAAATCTGTCACAGAATTTTCTTCATCTTTTAAATATGTGACAGAGAGTAGAAGAATGTAGACTGTTGATTTTGTGGAAACACAATTAGTGAAATCCCAGTCCTAAGAGGAGTCACAACTAACTTAACAGAATCACAGAATAGGTAAAAAGGACCTTAGAGTTTACTTTACAGATGAGGAAACTTAATCCCACAAAAGTAAAATTACTTGTCCAAGATTATACAGCTGGCAGGATGAGGACTCCCCAACCCAAGTCTTCTGACTCCAAATACAAAGCTATTTTCATAAACCATGCTGTTTCTCCTTAGTTCATCTTATATTTGGCAAGAGGCCAAAATGAATTTAGTTAGGTTAACTAAATAAAAGAAAGTGTGGCAATATTTTACATGGTTTATATCTAATTAAATTTTGGTAAAGATGTTTCTTTTTCAGTGAAGGTGAAACCAACATTTTGTTTTAAATGGGTTACTGAGCTTTCTGAATATAAGGTTATGCAATTTGTTTTGATTGGATAAAAAGAATGTCACAAAACCACATATAAAGTAAAAACCACAAGTCTCTCTCTCTAACTGAAAATTCATATATCTTGAAAATGAACAAGTAAACACTGAATGACGCAAATCTCTTTAAACTGTTTCTCATTTGTGTGAAAAATTATTAGTAAGTGCATTTTAAGCATATCTTTAGAATGTGAATAAGTAATACATATGTACATTCAGTCAGATATTAAATGGTTATAAAAAATTGTAGCATTAGTAAGGCTATTTCAGTTTGAAGATGGGACAATGGCAATATAGCCCTTCTTCATTAACAGTGTTTGAAAAGCATTTGGGGATATAAGATTAGAATGTTGTAAATGATCCAGTGCTTGAGTTCCTTCCAGTGAGATCACAGAGAGTTAAAGTCAAGTCTCTCCAGGTTTGCTGCTACATCGCATTCACATGACTGATCCAGTTGGATTGATGGTCATATCTAATGCCCCAAGGTATAGACCAAGAAAATTCACTCCCATTAGCCCTGTCATGTTTTTTGCTGTGAAATTCCGAGTCATACAACTGTACTACTTGTAAACCAGAAACATAGAGAAATTCTAATCCAGAAGGCATTGACCTCTTTAGCCCTGAGTATATCAGCTGGGCTAATTAATGTACTAATGTCCATTTTAGGGTAGAGACATAAGAAAGTAAAGGATAACAAAAAGGGGGGATTAAATGTTGGGCTTGTTGTGGGTTTTTTTGTTTGTTTTTAAGTATGATAGAGTGCCACTAACAGTTACCACAAGTGCCATTCACAGCTCTATCGGAAGTCATTTAACCTTTTTAGATGAGGCCATCTTCACTTTTTTATTTTAACTATACAAAACTACTTGGAAGCAAAACAATTTCCTTTTGGCCTGGACTGCAAAAGTATGAATAGCTATGTTGGTAATAAATGGAATGATAGTATACTGGTGGTTTTGTTTTAAGTTGAATATATGAAAATTTTTAAATAAAGGAAGAATATGCAATTTTTCTAAAGTATAAGTTTTTATTTCTAAAAGAAAAAAATTCTAAAAATCCACTTTTCCTGAGCTAGCTTTTTACCAGGTAATGCATAGGTCAGTAATAATCCTGTTTATTGAATTAGCATTTTCTCCTTTTCCTTAAAATAAAAGCAGTTGTATGCTTCTAAATTCAAGATACTATCTAACATGGAATGGGTGTTTTATTAATTGCTGAAAATTGTATTACTTTCCTGAAACTTCTTGTAATTTGATTTGCCCAGTAATGATTTCTTTGAGCTTTAATATTATTTTATTGATTTAACAGACAAAATATACTTTAACTATTAAATTGTTTTAAAATTCATTACTTACTTCTCTTACAGACTTCAACTAGTCAGGCAATCTTCTGTCTCCAGTCCGGTATCTGCCACCTCTTCCGTGAAACTCTAATTCAGAAAGGGTTTGTAGAAATCCAAACCCCCAAAATCATTTCAGGTATTTCTCTAAATTGCAAAATTGAAATTGCAGGACGCAAAGTTAAGGTTGTACAGTGGATTGAGTGCTGGGCCTCGAGTCAGGAATACTTAAATTCAAATCTAACCTTAAGGCATGTAAGCTATGGGACTGTTGGCAAGTCATTTAACATCTATCTGCCTCTATTTCCTCATCTGTAAAATGAGGGTAATAATAACACCTGCCTCACAGAGTTCAGTTGTGAGGATAAAAATGAGGTGATATTTGTGAGGTTGGCTATATAAGTGCATACTTATTATTAGCATTATTATTTAATTTTCTTATTTTATGTTTTTGAGAAGACTATTCTCTATAATATTTAACTCATTGCCCTTATTTTAAGAAGCTTTATATGATATAAAGTAGTTTTGAAGTGAAGCAATACTGCATGTTCCACAAAGCAGCAAGTAAATTGCATCAACAGCTATTTTCATTACTTGAGTTTCTTTCAAAACTGGTGTTGTAGCCATCCTATTTGTTTGAGTAGATACTATTTCATAAAATTACTGAAAGTAGCAAACCGGGAAATCTCATAAAATTCTCATACTTTAATCATGCTTTTTAGACGGTTGCTTAAAGAAGTTTAAAATTTAAGTTTAAATTGTTTTTCCTGTGAGGCTACTTGTGTGCTATTCTTTAGTTTGGTTATACTGAATTTATTCTTACAATGTGAATATTGTTCTTTTCAGCTGCCAGTGAAGGAGGAGCCAATGTATTTACTGTATCATATTTTAAAAGCAATGCATACCTGGCTCAGTCCCCACAGCTATATAAACAGATGTGTATTTGTGCTGATTTTGAAAAGGTTTTCTGTATTGGACCAGGTAAGAGTTTGACCAACTTGATTTTATTTGGTTAGTACTGTATGTATGTTTATAGTTTGGGAACAGCTAGGTGGCACGGTGGATAGAGTGCTGGGCATAAAATCAGGAACACTCATCTTCCAGAGTTCAAATCTGGCCTCAGACATGAGCTCTGTGACCCTGGACAAGTCCCTTAACTCTCTTTGCCTCAGTTCCTGATCTTTAAAATGACCTGGAGAAGGAAATGTCAAAACCAGTCTTAGTATCTTTGCCAAGAAAACCTCAAATGGGATTAGGAAGAACTGGACAAAATTGAAATGACTGAACAAAAAACCAAATTTATAATTTAGAAATGTGTTTAACGAAAGTAATAGTATGCTTTGGGTATTGGAAGAATCTTTTCATTGATTAGGACTATATATTAAACAAAAAGCCTTATGGGCTAAAGGACAGACAGGCAGGAAATCTAGTCCAACCTCTCTTCAAATCACAAATACTGTCTGTAAATTCTCATACTGCATTACAAATGGTAACCTGGACTATGATGAAATACATATCATCATAGGAAGCTACCCCAATTCAGTTTACCAGGTTCTAATACAGTTCAGTAGGTATTAAGTGCCTGTTTTGTGCAGCTAATATAGATTTCCTCACCCTCAAGCTTACAATCCACCGAGGAAATGTGACTATTAAGCACTACACTCTAGGAACAGTGTTAATAAACTTGAGAGTATCTGGAAAAAGAACTAGACTGTCCAAGGCCTCAAGATTGTGCCTGATGGATCAGTTGAAAACGTCAGGGATTAAGCTAAAGAGGAGATAACAGGAGGGGAACATAATTGCTATCTTCTAAGTATTTAGAGGGTTCTCACATGAAAGGATAAAATTTGTAGTGCTTTGGCCTTAGAAAGCAAAACTGCAAATAATAGGTGGTAATTGCAAAGGGATAGATTTAGGCTTATTATAAGAGATAGCTTACTAATAATTAGAGCTAATCTATAAGTGGATGCCTTAGCAAGTGTAAGATTCCCCCTCACTCAATGTCTTAAGGCAAAGACCAGATGGCTATTTGTCAGAGACGTCGTAGGTATAGGTTGGACTACATTGTCCTTCAGGTCCCAGCTGGGAAATTATTAAAGACTGATATAATTTTAATTGCTTAAAAATACTTACTTTCCTAAAAATCTACCTAATTATTGGGGGGGGGCACGGAGTTGTGTATTAGTTAAAGTTTCCCATGATTCCCCCAAAAAAAGTTATTTGGGTAACATATAAATTACAGAACTATTAGAGATTATTTAAATTTATATTCTAAATGAATCAGTCAGTAAATTTTAAATGCATAGGCTATACATACCTACATTTTGCTAATTACAGTAAAATATAAAAGAATTAAGATATTGATCCATGATCACTAAGGAACTTAAATTCTAGTTAATGAGACAGAGTATAATGCCATCAGTAACCTTAAGTCAGCAGTTCTTAGATTATTTTGATCACAGGACTCCTATCCTTAAAAATTATTGAGACTCTCAAAGGACTTTTCTTTATGTGGGTTATGTATATTGATATTTACCATATTAGAAAATAAAACATCTTAGTATTCTTATATAAATGCTTTTGGCCTCAAAGATTCCCTGAAAGGTTCCACAGACTACACTTTAAGAACTGCTTCCCTAAATAGTAGTTCTAAGTGGTAAAGTACAGGGAAGTGTTTAAGTTAAGAGAGTTAGAAAATATAGGCAAGAGTCATTTGGGAAGTAGAGGGGTAGGTTTGAAGATTGGGTAGGATATGGAGAACGATAAGAAGAGCATTCAAGCAAATAACATGAGAAAAGGCAAGGAGACAAAATTAAGCTTGGAATCCAGGTGTAGAAAGAAAAGATACCAATCTAGTTGATGCAACAGGGTTTTCTATTTAGGTGTTGGGAAGGTAGAACGACCAGGTCTCCAGTTGCCTCACCCTCTCTGAGTAGATATGGTCAGATGTTCCTCTAGAAGTCCTACTTTTGCTATTAGGTAAAATCCTTCAAGGCTAAGCCCCTGGACAGGTAAAAAAGCTTTGGTGGAAGCAATTAGACCACTTCACAGATAGAATATATTTACTGTTAGTCATCATGGTTATAGTTTATCATGTATTATGGTCTGTGTTTGAATTAATTAATTTGCACAAAATTAAAATGGGTTGAATATATTTAAAACCATACCAAACAAACTTTAATATATTTTTCACACTTTAGAAGACACTTCAAGGTCTTGCTTTGTCTTTGAGTTATCATGAACATCATTTATCTTTGTACTAATGCTCATTGATCATAGTCAGATTTCTAGCTTATGGAAGGCTAGGTAAACCAACTTTTATTTGATTAGTTTTCTTATAGAAGTTTGTAATAACCTTATAATCCAAAGGGAAGTCAAAGCAGATACCATGTCATAAGCTCTTTCAACTCTATAGTTTTGTGAAAACAGCCTCATTTGAGTGACACAAGTGGGACAAAATAGATTTTTTAAAGTATGATAATTTCCTTAAATTTTGGAGCACCATTTATAGTATAATACTTAATGTTACAGTATTCAGAGCCGAAGACTCTAATACACATAGGCATCTGACAGAATTTGTTGGTTTGGACATTGAAATGGCTTTTAATTACCATTACCATGAAGTAGTAGATGAAATTGCTGACACATTGGTACAAATATTTAAAGGACTTCAGGAAAGGTAAGAAGTATTTTATATTTGTCTGTATCTCCTTAATTACTCTTTATAAGTGTCTCAGAAAAGGAAGGGCTCTTGCATAAGAGATATTTAAGCTATCACTATTAAACAGTGTAAATGAAGATTTGGTAGTTAAGTAGTTAGATTTAATCAGTGAAGAGGGCCATACTAAATACCATATTAATCAGAATATAGGTCCCACTTTTGCCCCCAAATCTTTCTTGTATAAAACTCTGAATGACTCTTACAATCACATTCTCATACATAGACAAAGCTATGACATAGCTTTCTCCTCATATAGCTGGTCTCCCCGGTGTAAATATTAGCAGTGGCTTTCCCCTTAGCTCACGTTGTAGAGAAGGCTATGCCAGCTAACTCTGGTGCTGGTGTTCCAAGAGAAAGAAGGTACATCCCAACTCATTTACACACACTGAGGGGCTATCTGCATCCAATATGGATTCTGGATAGGGATCTCACTGCAAAGTCCTTATCTCTGAATTAATTCTTTCCCCTTCTTTTCCCTCATATCTTAGCATAGGGAACTTGTAAGAAAGGGAGAGGGCAGCAGAAGTGTTAATGATTTCTATGGCTATTCTCAGGAGAACCCAAGCAAGTAATTTCAAGGGCTCAGAAATGAATTATTGATCTAGGATAGCTATTTCCTTAGCATAGGCACAGATATTTTCCCAGCAATCTTCTGCATTGCCTTATTGTAGAATGATCTCATATCCTACCTTTCTCCCTACCTCCACACTGCCAAATACTTGCGTTTTCTGTTTTAAGTCTTTGTTTTGGAATTCAGTACAACTCATAATGTCCCCTTTTCCAGCTATAATTAAGAGATCTACTTTTATTGAACAGCCTTTTTTAAAATTTAATTTTCTTTTGCAAGTCAAATATTTGTATTCTAAAATTGTAGAATTTGGTACCTCAACCATTTAAGCTGTTGTAATTTTTTTTTGTATGGGGGCTATTTGCTTTGGTATCTTCCAAACCCATCATTTTTTTTAATAAACCAGGCTTGAGTCAGTCAGCAATTAAACAACCATTTACAAATAGAAAATAAGTAGCTACTATTATCATTGCCTTCCTTCAGTTTACCCCCCAAAAAAGGATACATATTCATCTTATAATAAATTTGTAATATTTGACTTACCTTCGTTAGTTACACTTACCATTCGTTGACCCGTAATAGACATTTAAAATAAAAGCGTGATTTAGATAAGCCATACAATAATTTTAAATTTCTGTATCAGCATTATAAATTAGAAAATCAGGTAACCTAGATTAGTCAATTGACTGACTTATTTTTGATGGACAGTAGCTGATATACAGACTTTTGATATAACATTCATACCTTGATTTGAGTATGAAGTATTTAATTATTGAGACTAATTATTTGGCTCAGCATCTATGTTTCTGTGAAAGTTCCAATGGTCTATTAAGAGATGATATAATGTTTGTCAAATTATATACCTTTTATAGATGCTTAAAATGAAAAATGAGGTTTTATACTTTTCAAGAAAAAATTATGCTTCTTCATAGATGTATTAGAAAAATTCATGTTCTTAAATTTGTTGGGGGGTTTTTTCCAGCTGGTAATATGTATTGACAGAGTAGAACTTCCAAATTTTTGAAATGGTTGTCTTAACATTGATACAGCAATTTTAACTAGGTAGGATGCTTCCTGATCAAGTTTGGTGACGGCTGGAAGCCTCCACACTTTTCCTCTAAAAAGAACCAGCGTTAGTTGTAAAGAAATCTTAATTGTAAAGTTGTTGCTCTGGTGACAACAAATGATTAAGTGTGAGAAATTCCATTAAATATTTAACATAAAGTATTATATTAAGTTTTATATTAACTTAGATAACTTTTTGCCCATAACATTCTTTGGTCTGTACTCTGATTCAGAATGTGATTTTGTGTATTGCAGCAGTGACATCTTGTGGGGCGAAAATTAATGTCATATAAGCCTTTTTTTTTTTTTTTTTAAAGAAGCCTCAAAATATTTTCTCTTCATAGGTTTCAAACTGAAATTCAGATGGTAAACAGACAGTTCCCATGTGAGCCTTTCAAATTTTTGGAACCAACCTTGAGACTAGAATATCGTGAGGCTTTGGCTCTGCTCAGGGAAGCTGGAGTGGACATGGGAGATGAAGAAGATTTGAGGTTTGTGCTTTGGAAACTGAGAAGGATCTTCATTAATACTTCGCAAGTTTTAAAAACTATAAACTTTTAACAGCTGATTTTGACAAAATTCTTTCTCATGAGTTTTCTTTGACTAGCCATAGAACACAGTTTACAGTAAACATTTTATCTTACCTATATACCAAGTTATTAAAGTTTAAAAGTTTGCAAGGACTTTGTGAAAACTTCCTGTAGTATGAATTTGTCAACTAATATGTTACTTTTGTCCTAAATCAGCAGCTTTTAAACTGAGGTCTGTATGCTTTGTTGTATATGAAAAAATTGGAGTTTGCATAGCACTTACCTCTTAACAGCCCTGTAAGGTAGATAATACAGTCTTATTATCCCAGTTTCACAAATGGCAGCTCTCACAGCCAGTAATGTCAGAAACAACACTCAAAACAAAGTCAGTCTTCTGACTCTTCTTAATGTTCCTTTGCTCTCTCATCACTGGAGTATCAGCTACCTATTGACTACATTTTTATTCTGAATTTTCCAATCTAAGGGTCATTCTTAGCAGCAAAAAAAAGAAAAAGAAAAAGAAAAACCAGAGTTGATACCTCTCCTTCATCATTCATTATCATCATCCTAACCACCTTGAGCAGTGTTATGTTCATCTTTCTTTGATCCTGTAAAACTCTTTTTTGTTGTCCTTAGCATTCATTGCTAATATTGGTTAATTTTGAATGTTAGTCTTGCTCACATTATTCTTATAGAACTATGCCACCCTTTTTTTCAAATCCTCCTTAACTGCCTTTGCTTTCATCTTCTATAAGTATATTTTAAAACTGTGTTAATCAGTGCATTCTGTGTGTATCTACATCTGTTTCTAGCACCTCCTCCCCTCCAGCACTGGAATTATTTCTCTTGACATCTTCAGAATTTCTGATAAAGAGGTCATTCTCAAATATGTAGATCACTAAGTCAAATTTAGAAAAATAAGAGTCATTCCCCAATTGATAAATGGTCAAGGGATGTGAACAGGCAGTTTTCAGAAGTCCAACCTAGTTATAGTCATATGAAAAAATGCCGTAAATTACTATTGAAATACAAATTAAAACAACTCTCAGGAACCACCTCACAGTCATATCAATCGACAAATGCTGGAAGGGATGTGGAAAAGTAGGTGCACGTATACGTTTTTGGTGGAGTTGTAAATTGGTCCCAACTATTCTGAAGAACAACTTGGAACTATGCCTGAAGGGCTATAAAACTGTGCATACCTTTTCACTCAGCAATACCACTACTAGATCTATATCCCAAAGAGATCAAAGAAAAGAGAAAAAGACCTATATGTACGGAAATATTTATAGCAGCTTTTTGTGGTGGCAAAGAATTGAAGGAATGTTCATCAATTAGAGAGTGACTGAACAAGTTGTAGTCTATGATTGTGATGGAAGACTATTGTGAAATGACGAGGGGGTTTGGTAAATTCTGGGAAGACTTGAATGAACTGATACAAGATGAACTGGGCAGAACCAGGTCATTGTACACAATAACAGCAATATTGTAATGATGATCAATTGTGAAAAGACTGCTGTGAGCAATACAGTGATCCAAGACAGTTCAGAGGGACTAATGATGAAAATCGCTGTCTACCTCCGGAGAACTAATGAACTCTAAGGACAAATTGAAGTATAACTTTCTCACTTTTCTTGACTTTTCTTTCCCAATATGGCTAATAGGGAAATACATTTTGCATAGTTTCACACTTAAAATGGGTATTATTGCTTACCTTCTCAGTGGATGGGAGAGGGAGGACTTGGAGGGAGAGAGAGAATTTGGAATTCACATTTTAAAAATAAAAACAGAAAATGCTTGTAGACTATAAAATGAGGGAGTTGGACTAGATAATGTCTGAGGTTCCTTCCTGCTCTAGACTTGAAGCTAGATATAGAAGTTCCAACATAGTAATTTTTTAAATTACTCAGTGAATGTTCCAACCTTGAATAACCCATTTCAAATTTCTATTACAGTACTCCAAATGAGAAACTCTTGGGTCGTTTGGTAAAAGAAAAGGTATTGTTTATTATTATTTCCTTCTTGGAATTTCCAAAAGACTGATATGTTTCTGTATTCCAGTGCTAAGAAGATAGTCCAGGGTAAACAAATCATTAGTACAGCATTCCTCCAGATATATCTAATAGCACGATAAGAATAATAGAATAAGTTTCTAAGAAAACTTATGTTGTTTAGCAGAATCTGGTAATATTAGCCTTTAGAGTTAAGCCGTTGACTAGTGTATTCAAAGGTGTACTAAATGATTTTCCAAAGATGAGACCTCTGCCAAATATTAGCTCCTTTAATATTACTTTAAATAATTAAGGAGCTAAAGAACTTTAGGCATATAAAAAGGATCTTAAAATTCCTTGGGATTCTTTTGAAATAGTGTTTCTTCTTTAGCAACCTTGAGACTTCTTTTGTGTGTCTTTGAGAGGAAGCACTCTTTGAAATAACAATTCATTTATAGTCTTCTACCTAATTCTTTGATGTTTTGAGAAAGGAAATTTAAAGCTGTAAGTTATAGTTTTAATTTTGTCCTAATGTAAAATCAAACTTGGGAGAGTCTAAGAAAATTAAAAGCAGTCTATGAGCTCCTCCTGCTGGCTGTTAGCAAGTATAAAACAGACTTAGAAGCAAGACATGTCTAGAAATAAAAAAGTAAACAAAGTTGAGTAATTTTTTTGCTGCTACATTTAAAAAAATATATTTTATAATGCAGTTTGACAGAGAAATAATCAGAAATGCAAACTTTTATTGCATTTTCAGTTTAAGTAAAAAATATAAAATTGTTTCACTCCATTTAAATGAAAGTGCTACGGTAAACAAACTATATTTTATTGAATTTTCTTTTATTGTAAAAGGAAAATTGTGGTCTCAATTCATTTTATTGGCATTAAACATTTCTTATTAACACTGTCAAAAATATTTCTTCTCTTTAAAGTATGATACTGATTTTTATATTCTTGACAAATATCCTTTGGCTGTACGACCTTTCTATACTATGCCTGACCCAAGAAATTCTGTAAGTACTTTAGTTTTAATTAGTGTTGGGGTGGTTGGTAGAGTTTGTGTTCATTTTGGGAAAATTAGTTTCATTACTTTATTTCATTTGAATGGCAGCAGTCATATATATTGTTGCTATTATGTCTGCCTGTAATAGCAGGTCTAATAATGCTTGAAATCTGGATTTCATTCCTTCAGTTTCCTCTCATGCAACCTGATACTGATATCATTAACCTGATAGGCTATGTTTTATTTATAATCTTTTGGGGGAAAGTGATCATATAAATATAAAATAACTATTACTATGTTGTAGAATTTATTATATAAATTATCATTTTAGAAGTCTGCAAGTAATTCCATTACTGTCAACTAATCTGATAATGAATAAATTGACATATCAAAATCCAAAATTATTTTGCTTATATTTGATAATTTGTTTTAAAAAAACTGTATTTGAATCCGATTGATAATTTGCCCAAGTGTAATAGCCTAAAATTATTCTATTGAGATCAGGGTAGCATAATCAAACAAGGACGAAAATGCCTAATGATAAAATAATTAAGGTAAGTATCACATATTTAACTACTGTCTGGAATCTACTATAGTGTCATGCTTAGTGAATGGTTGAGGGGATGGGGAGCAGTGTTGACAGTAATGTGATTAAGGTTCATTCACTTCAGCAATGTAATCTAATTTTTGAAAAAGTGTATTGTTTGGAACCGTTTGTATCATGTTTACATATATGTTTATATGTATATGTATTGTTATAGAAATAGAGATGTTCCTTACTTTGGAACTGTAGTGTTCACCAATCACAATTTTTTTATCCCTGTATTTAAGTAAAGATGTAGAACTTCTTTTTTATTTATTTAATTTTTAAGATTTAAGCACAGTATGGTGGATAGACATCCTTCCTTGGCACAAATAAGACCTGAATTGACATTCCATCTCTGGCACTCGGGTTTTGTGATGACGGGCAAATCATTTAATTCTCAGTGCCTCAGACAACTCTTCAAGATCATAGGTTACAGAACATTCCCATTCTGTGCTGACAAAGTTTCCTTGTCAGGAGCTACTTTCACCATTAAAAGCACAGGTCCAGACTGTGTTTGTGTTAATAGGTCACATGGTTGTGAATAGGAACAGGGATTGCATCTAGAATGTGATTGGTGTAGGGGACTCCCAGGTGAGGAGACTCAGTCAACCAGTGCAGACTGGCACCTTCTCTACAGCTATAAATACTAAAAAAAAATCCATATAATAGGTATTATAATAATATAATAGATAAATAATTCACAATGGAGTAACAGCCACTTTTGCTTTTTCTAGAAACAATCAAACTCCTATGACATGTTCATGAGAGGGGAAGAGATCCTATCTGGAGCACAGAGAATTCATGATCCTCAGCTGCTAACAGAGAGGGCTTTACATCATGGAATTGGTAACTCTTTTAAATGTGTCTGGGGAAGAAGGAAGGCAGAATTGTTTTTAAATAAACAGATTTACACATTTCTGTAATAGATAGTTAATAATTATATATGAAATCATCTTTCATTGGAATAAGTTCAAAGTTATGCTTTTTTTTTCCCCCCTTTTGTAGACCTGGAGAAAATAAAGGCTTACATCGATTCCTTCCGATTTGGAGCCCCTCCTCATGCGGGTGGTGGCATTGGTAATATTTTCTTATTATTACTGTGTCATATCTGGTTACAATTGGAATTTTATTTGAGGAAATGATCGATCCTAACTAAATTTCATTTTAACTGGATTCCAACATGTTTTAGTAAGGCTTACATAAGAAATATCAGATAATGCTCAATTTTAAATATTTATAAATCCCCCAAATTTAATTGGAAGATCTCTTTAAAGAGAGTAGAACTAAACAAAAGATTGACAAGACAGAATTCATGCACCGTAATTTTTTGGACTGTGTTCTGAAATTCTTACGTTTTCAATGCTCTAAAATGAGGAGTGGCAGGCAGTGACTTTATTTTATTCATAATGAAGTTCAAAATACTGGATGTATTTAATAAATTAAATACCTAGTTTTCTTTCCCAGTCCTTGAAGATTCCTAATTCAACCCTCCTTTTGCCTTTTTTTCCCCTCAAAAAAAAGTGAACTCTATGATATTGATAAGTAGGGTTTAGTTGAAATTTAGAATTTCATTGAAATAAATGACAGTTTTCAGAATATGGAAGAAAAAACTTTTTTGCTTTACTATCCTCACAGGATTTAAAGTCTTTAATGTAATTTATTAGGCTGTAGCTATAATTGGGTTTTCTGACTTTGTTTTAGCTAATAATTGTTTAAAGTAAGATTTGCTTTTTTCCCCCCATTAACATTTGGAAGAAAGTTGGAGAAAGTGCTTTTTGAGTCAGCAGTTTATCCCCATGCTGATCACTTGTTCATAGTTGTCTGTATCTTGTCTATGTTGTGTAGGAAAGGATAAACTAATTTTAAATATCATAATATCATAGATTTAGAGCTGGAAGAGACCTTTATCTAATAAGATGAAATTTAATAAAAATAAATACAAAGTTCTACATCGTCGATGCAAAAAATCAACTGAAGAAATGTTTGTATGAAACAGACATGTTTGTATGTACATGATCTGACAATTTTGGTCAACTACAGGCTTCGAATGAATCAACTGTGGTGTGGCCACCAAAAAAAAGAGAAACCTCTCTGTTAAGAAAGTACAAGTCTTCTAAAATGAAAGCCCTTCTTTTGCTCAGTTGTGGGCTTTTAGTGAGGACATCAGCAAGCCTAGAACATCTCCAGGGTCAAACAACCAAGATAGAGAAGTGCCATGGAACAGATAGGGCACATAGTTAGTAATCAACTGAAAGAATTGGGGATTGAAAGAAAAGATTCAGAAGAGATATGAAAACTGTCTTTTACTAGTTGGAAGGCTTTAAACTTAAACATGGGAGCGTTGGTTGGAGATTACAAGAACAGATTTGGGGCTAGATCCAGGGAATTAAAAAAACATGAGAGCTATCCAACAATAGACTGAGCTCCTTGGGGTATAATGGTAGGTTGAAAACCTTAGTGGAAATTTTCAAGGTGAGGGCAGATAACCATGTGTATATAAGGAAATGTCAGGGATATTGTTCAGGTATGGATTGGAATGAGAACTGAGGTCCCTTTGCTACTCTTCTGTAAAATGTAAGATGAGAAAAATTGAAGCATACTTTTTACATGTAAGCTCATTTTATTATAAGGTTCACTTATGACATATAATCAATAGTCTTTTAGTTAGATTGTCATAAAAAAAGGAATAATTAAGCCTTTTGCTAATTTTTTCAGCCAGCTTTGCTATTTGGTCATTAATCCTAACAGATATTCCCAGTAGATAGGAAGAAATGAAACTACTTTCCTAAGTTGCACAGAAAAATAAATGTTATTTTGTAGTCATACTTCGTAAATTCATTTCATTAAGTATTTATTAAGCATCTTTAATACGTACATCACTGCTAGTTTCTAGAGGAAATACAAAATTTAGATGTTGAATAAATGTTAAATAAATGTTGAATTCAATCCGTGGATCTTATAATGTAGTTAGAAGAATGTGACATGCACAATAACTATGTATTATAAAATGAAATAAATTCATAAAGGGAGTATTGTGCATTTGAGACCCAAGAAAGAGAACATCATTGGGAAGAAGAGGCAAGAGATTGAAGAATGTTTTGTGAAGGGTACGATATTTGATTTGGCCATATGGGAAAAAGACAGATCTTACTTTGAAAAAGTATTCTTCTAATAAGAGACCATCTTGCAATTGAATATTATAAAAAGAACTTTATAAGGTGTTAGTGACACAATTTTTATTGAACTCTGTACTCTAACAAATTGGTTTCAAGTATAACTTGAAATTTCACAAAATTCTATACACCAAAATAAAATTAATTCATGTATCCCTGGCATTATTTTTTTTAATGGTCACATTGGTTGAGGTAATTTATCTTTGGGCAGTAGTGGTAAGCTTATTACAGAATACCTACTGGAGAAGATTTTTTAAATCATCTGATCCAGCTCCTTAGCATAATCTACATTTCTGAATTGTCAACTAGCATGTTCCAATAGCTCAAAATAATTGTTTTGTTATTCTTAGTGAAAAGCAACTGTGATATCTATTTCAGTTGAATAAATACATTAGTATTGATCATTTTAAGTGAGTCAGATCCTGAAAAGATTTTGGAAAACAAAAAGATTGATGAAATATCTTATTTTTACAGGGTTGGAGCGAGTTACAATGTTGTACCTGGGATTACACAATGTTCGTCAAACATCCATGTTTCCCCGTGATCCCAAAAGATTAACACCTTAGGGAAAATTGCTTTTTATTCTGTCCAGTAACCTGCTTTGATCAGGCTGTTTGAGTACTCAGAATATGCAATAGAATAAATATCTTATCTTCTAAAGTGCCACAATTTTTTTTGACTCATTAACTGCAGTTTAGAGATGATTTTAACTGTCTTGGACATTCTCTGATAGGAAGTGCTTAAATATTTTATATGAAGATTTCATATTTATGTTCATTCATATTCCGTTATCTCAAATTTTAACAAATTTCTAGCCAGTTAATATTTTAAAACTTTGCAGTTGTGCAATAAAAAACTTTTTTTCTATCTTACAAGGGACAAGGGCCATAAAATTGTATATTAAAATTCAGTATTTCAGCCAATTTTTAACAATTGTGACAATGTTCAAAGACAGCCTGGAAAAATAATGTAGAACATTAGCATCTTTCTAACTGAAATATCATGGGAAAAAGTAGGAAATAGTAACATTTTAACTTTTTAAAAATTATGCTTAGATATTATGTAAAGCAGGTGGAAATACTGGTAGAAAAGCAAAATTTTAATGTATTATACTGAGTTGTCAAAATTCCAAAACAGTTTCAATAAAATTCTAAAAGTGGTCTTGTTTTTTTTTTTTATTGGCGAGGGGATTTTGTGGGAATTTGAATTTAATAGCTCTAATGTCAATTTATGTTTTCACAGGAAGGATATATTCTAATATAACTGATTTTATGCGATGAAGATCATCTTTTTTCTAGTTTTTAAAAATAGAAACAAACTTAAATACTTATTTTTCATTTGTAAAAAGTATACTGTGTATTTGGCAGCAGGAAGTTAAGGAGCCTTCTGTTTGGTTTTGTCACAATGCTCAATAATTAATAGACTGGTAGAGCTGAAGGGTTCTAGGGATCATGTTGTCCAGCCCATTCATTTTTAAACTCAGGGCCCAAAAGTATTGGTACTTTGATTAAGGTCACACAGGTGTTGCATGGCTTAGATTTGGATTCCAGATCTCTTTATTAGATATCCAGTTCTTGGGGTAGCTAGGTGGCGCAGTGGATAGAACACTGGTCCTGAAGTCAGGAGGACCTGAGTTCAAATCTGGCCTCAGACCAAATACTTGACACTTACTTACTAGCTGTGTGACCCTGGGCAAGTCACTTAACCCCAATTGCCTTTAAAAAAAAAAAAAAAAAGAGTAAGGTTTCTTAGGGGCAGCTAGGTGGCGCAGTGGATAGAGTTCCGGCCCTGGATTCAGGAGGACCTGAGTTCAAATTTGGCCTCAGACACATAACACTTACTATCTGTGTGACCCTGGGTGAGTCAACCCCATTGCCTAACCCCCCCCAAAAAAAGTTACTTTTTAATTTTCAATCAAACATTTATTAAGCACCTACACTTGTGACAAGTACTATGCTAAACACCAGGGATACAAAAAAGCCAAAATAGTCCCTGTCGGTATGTTCACAACCCCTGATAGAGACAACATGCAGACAACTAGACAAGGCAAGTTATTTACAAAGGGAGGATACTAGAATTAAGAGGATGGGGAAAAGCTTTCTGTATAAGATGGGATTTTACTTTGAACTTAAAGGAAACCAGGACTTCCTTTAAGTCTTAACTAAATCCCACCTTCTGTAGGAAGCTTTCCCTCCCTCTCTTAATTCCAGTGCCTCCTTTTAATTATTTCCTGTTTTTCTTGTGCATAGCTCGCTTTGTATATATTTGTTTGCATGTTGTCTCCCCCATTAGGGAAAAAAAAAGGATGCCAGGGAATTATTCAGAAGTAGGCAGAGGTGAAGAGCATTCTAGGCATGGGGGACAACTGGAGAAAATGTTGGGAGCAACTAGTACCAAACAGGAGGCCAGTGTCACTAGATTGAAGAGTTGGTGTTGGGGAAGTAGGCTATGAAGACTTCGCAAGTATTTCGGACTTGATCCTGCTATTACGAAATCGAGGTGTGAAGTTATGAGGGCCTGCACCAGAGTGGTGGCCTTGTCAGGAGAGGAGATTGACGTGCGATGTGGCAAAAGTAAGATTTGTGAGCTTACACGTTAATAAGCGTGAACATTTCAATATAGAAAGAACAAAAAAGGATCATAAATGAGACAGCTTCAGCTGGTTTCTTAATTTATATTAAATTTTAACATCATAGTAACAAAACTGCCTTTTGTCTCCCTTGTAAACTTGTTCTTTTCCATGTATTAAAATGTTTCATTGATAGCTTTTTTTTGGGGTGCATCACTGTCTCTACTCACCAATTCACACTCTTCCTCCGCACCCTTCCTTGTGGTAAATAAGTGTAGGCAATCAAAACATTGACCATGACTGAAAATCTGTGTCTCATTTTATACCCAAGATGTATCTACTTCTCATAGAGTTCTGATTAGTCACTACATTGATCAGAGTTCTAAAGTGTTTAGAAGTTATGTAATTATGATCATTGTGTACATTTGTTGTAGTTCTCTTCATCAATTTGTATAAATCATCCTTGGTCTCCCCAAGACTGTCATTATTGCTTCTTTATGAAAGTTAACTAATGCCATTACTTTCATATCCCATAATTCATTTAGCCATTCCCCTTGTTTCCAGTTCTTTACTACCAAAAAAAATAATGAAAGGACCTACTATAAATGTTTTTTGTTTGTTTTTGTTTTGTTTGTTTGTTTGTGTTTGTTTTTGTTTTTGGTTAGGCAATGGGGTTAAGTGACTTGCCCAGGATCACACAGCTAGTAAGTGTTATGTGTCTGAGGCCGCATTTGAACTCAGGTCCTCCTGAATCCAAGGCTGGTGCTCAATCCACTGCGCCACCTAGCTGCCCCTATAAGTGTTTTTTATACAAATGAGTCCTTTATCTGTGTCTTTGACCTCTTTTATATCAGAGTTTTTGAAGTATAGTTCCATTTTTATTTCCAGAACGGTTAGATTAATTCACAATCCCACCAGTGGTACATTAGTGTGTCTGTCCTCCCATAGCTCCTCAACAATTTCGTTTTCCTCTTTTTTCATCTTTATCGATCTGAAGGAGAATTAAAGTATTGTTTGAATTTGCATTTCCCGTAACAAGCATTTATGAAGAACCTACAGTGTGCCAGGAAATAGTCACTGAAGAGGCAAAGAATGAAACAATCTCTGCGCTCAAGGACCTAATTACTATTGGTGATTTAGAGAATTTTTCATATGGTTGCTGACAGTTTCCCTGTTCATCTCCTTTACGTATTTAACCTCTTGCTTATACAGATTTCTATCAATTTCTTACACATCTTGTATTTCAGACTTTATCAAGGAAATATGCTACAAAGATTTTTACCCAGTTAACTTTCTAATACTAAATGCATTGATATTGGTTCTGCTTTTCAATTTTATGTACTTTAAATTGTCCATTTTATCTCCTATTGTCATCTTTATCCCTTGTTAAATATTTCCCCATAGCCATGGATATGAAAAAATTTCCTCTTATGTGTTCATGCTGCTTATGTCATTTGTTTATTTAGATCACGTGTCCATTTGGAACTTAGAGTAGAATATGGTGCACAATATGTTGGTTTAAACCTAATTAGTGCCGAGCAGCTTTCCAGTTTTCCCAGCAGTTTTTGTGAAATAGAGTTCTTACTCCCCAGTAGTTGCTGTCTTGAGTTTATTCAACGCAGTGCTACTAGGTTCACTTGGTTCTGGATCATGTTCAACAAATCTGTTCCACTGATCAACTTTTCTGGGTTTTTTTGTTTTGTTTTGTTTTGTTTTACCATTACCATATAGTTTGATGCTTACTAAACTTAATGGCACAGTTTGAGATCTAATACTTCTAGGTAACTTTAATTTCCTACTATTCCCCCCATTATTTCTCTTAATATTATTAACCTTTCTCACCCCCCCACCCAGATGAATTTTCTTAATTTATCTAGTGCTGTAAAGTAACCCTTTGGTCTCATTTCTAAGAGTATGAAGTATTGATTCAAATGTATAAGTTCATGACCCATTCCCCAATTAATTTATAGTCAAAAGATAACAGGCAGTTTGAAAAAAAAAATCCAAGCTATCAGTAGACTTAGGAAAAATGCTCCAAATCACCAATAACTTGACAAATACAATTATGGCACTGTGAGGTTTCATTTTATACCCAACAGATTGGAAAAGTTAACAAAAAAGGAAAATCACATATGTTGAAGAAGCTAGGAGGAAAAAAGGCACAGAAATGCATTGGTAGAGTTGAGAATTGGTCCAGCCATTCTGGAAAGAAATGTGAAACTATATAGTGACTAAAAGTCACTAAACTGTTCTTAGTATTTGAACCAGCAATACCACTGCAAGGCAGGCCTACAAAGAGCTCAGAAAAAGAGAGAAAGGATCCGTAAGTGCAAAAATAGTTATAATACCTAGAAACTTGGGGATTACCCATTAGAGAGTGGATGAACAAGTATAGTGTATGAACGTGAAGGAATACTACTGTTACCATAAGAAGCAATGAAAAGGATAGTTTCACTGAGATCTGGGAAGGTTTGTATGAACTAATGCAGAGTGAAGTGAGCAGAACAATTTATATGACAACATTTTTGTAAAACCAACTGATCAATGCCGTGACCAACTATGATACCAGAGGACCATTGTCGAGTCCTGCTACCCACATCCTGACAGAAAGGTGATGGACTTGAGGTACAAAATAAGATATTTTTAGATGCAGCCAATATGGGAATTTGTTTTGCATGACTGCATGTTTGCAACTAGGGTTTTTTCCTTCTTAGTCCAGTTGTCAGGGCAGTGAGGAGAAGAGAGCTGGTTTTTGTAAACTGAAAAATAAAATTTAATTAAAAATAAAGTAACCTCTTTTCAGTTTGTTATGGCATTAAATCTATAGTTTGGCCATGATTTTTTAACAGCAAGGCCCAATTCATTTCTCTAATTGTCTTTTATTTCTAGTGTTCTATGAGTTATAAATCCTGAGAGTGATGTAGTAATGAATGGACTCCTTAGTCCGCTCCATTTTGAATGGAATTTTTTTATTATTATTATTATCTTGCTGCTGGGTTTTATTGGCAATATTCAGAAAGGTGGTTGATTTGTGTGTATTTTACATCTTGCTATCTTACTAAAGTCATGTCAATTTTTAATTAAATCTGTT